CTCTGTGCATCACCCTTCTTATAAATTGGCACCAGAACACTTTTCCTCCACTCATCAGGCATCTTGTCAGTCTCTAAAATTCTGTTAAACAACCTAGTCAAGAAATCTACCGCAACTTCTCCTAAACACTGTCATCGGGACCAACTGACTTTCCACTCTTCATCCTCTTCAGGGCTTTTCTTACTTCATCCTTTCTAATCTAATCTAATCTGATCTTTCATTCATTCACTCCTCAAAGTATTCCTTCCATCTTCTCAGCACACTTTCCTCACTTGTGATTACATTCCCATCTCTGTCCTTAATCAATCTCACCTGCTGCACATCCTTCCCAGCTTGATTTCTCTGTCTCGCCAATCTATACAACTCCTTTTCTCCTTCCTTTGTGTCCAAACTCTCATACAACTCCTCATATGCCTTTTGTTTGGCCTTGGCCACTTCCCTCTTCACCTCCCTTGTCCTCTCTTTGTACTCCAGTCTGTTCTCTTCTGTTCTGTCACTATCCAATCTCTTCTTTGCTAATCTCTTCCTCTGCACACTCTCCTGGACCTTATCATTCCACCACCAGGTCTCTTTGTCCTCCTTTCTCTGCCCAGAGGACATACCTAGCACCTTCCTACCTGTCTCCCTAACCACTGTAGCTGTAGTCTCCCAATCATCTGGGAATTTCTCAACACAGTCCAGAACTGCCCCTACTTCCTTCCTGAAGTCTTCACAACATTTCTCTTTTCTTAGTTTCCACCACTTGATCTTCTGCTCTGTCTTCACTCTCTTCCTTTTTTTCACCTTCATTGTCATCCTGCACACTACCATGTGATTTTGTTTGGCTACACTCTCACCTGCCACCACTTTTCAGTCATTAATCTCCCTCAGATTACCTCTTCTACATAGAATATAATCTATCTGTGTGGACCTGCCTCCACTCTTTTACATCACCCTGTGTTCCTCTTTCTTTTGGAAATATGTGTTTACCACAGCCATTTCCATTCTCTTTGCAAAATCTACCACTGCCTGTCCTTCTAAGTTTACTCTCCCTAACGCCAAACCTGCCCATCACTTCCTCATCTCCTCTGTTCCCTTCCCTTACATGACCATTTTCCGTTTTTGTCCGAACCAACGGTCCTCCGATTCTTCTTTGTCTCCGACCAACAGTAGTCCAATTTCCACCAGTACCGTGTAGGTCAACAGCACTGTTGGCGGTCGTTATTAACCCGGGCCTCGACCGATCCGGTATAGAAATTGCTTTAGAGATTCGTATATTTGATGTGGCTAAAGGTTTTACGCTGGATGCCCTTTCTGACGCAACCCTCACCATTTATCCGGGCTTGGGACTGGCACTATAGAATCACTATAGTAGCACATGGCTTGTATACCCTAATGTACCCTAATGGTCTGGTATCTCAGCAAATACAACTGAAAAAAAAAGAGTCATTTTTAAGATTTTTTGCACAAAGAAGTATAGTAGTAAAATTGAGTGTTATGTGTCAAACTTTGCTGATTGTATCAAAACACACCAGAAATAGAGAAAAGTACCACTGCTGTTTTGGTTTAACAAAAAAAAAACAAAAAAAAACCTAACCACTAATATGTCATGTATTTTCAGTGACACCGACCAAGAAGCGGTTAACCTCTCCGTATAAATGTTGAAAGCAATTTTTGACCAACCAGCAACTTTCTAACACAGGTGTGGGCAAACCTTTTGACTCGTGGGCCACAACTGTCCTAAAATTGAACAGGGGGGCCAGGTCAGGAGCAGATAGATAGAGCGAAGATAAATGACATGAAAAAGTCATGCATAAAGGCTACAATACTTTTATCATTTTCCACACCACCTATTGGGGAAACGTGAGTATTACAGGGAAAAGTCATAAGTTTAATGATAATATAAATAATTTATATAACTTGAACAAGTTTGGCGGGCCGGATTAAATAGCTGAACAGGCCACATCCGGCCCCCGGGCCTTAGTTTACCCATGCTTGTTCTAACATCTGCCCCTTGATGACGAACATCAATAATGTTTCTATTTTTATTGAAAAGCTTTAGTTTGACATTCAAAAACCAAAAAGTATTTTCTATATCTTTCCTTTTTTATGCATTGAACAGCAGACACTGATATGGCACACAGCTCATTTGTGTTTGAGAGCCCTGAAATAGAGTTTCAGCTGTAGTTCATCTTACTTCGGTAAACACTATACACAGACCAATCACAACAAATTTGAATTTGTTGATGAGTAACTCCTGTGTGCGATGAAGTGACACTAGAGATTTCCACCGCGGACTTTGAGGCAGGCGATGCCGGATTTACAAAATGACATGATCAGCAGTTCCTTGTTGAGGAAGGCTGGTGGAGTGATGAGAAGAAGTTATTTTAGTCGAGTCTACAGTTATATTTAAGTTTGTTTTTCACTCCCCTGAAATTCCACTGTCCATTTAAATAATTCCCAAGTTGGACACACACTTGACCTGGACAATTCTCAGTGACGATGGTCAGTTAGGTAACAATACATTTCTGATGTTAGGTCTGTCTTGAATGTCTCCCCTCATGTGTACATTTACACTTTTATTCATGCCACCTCAGAGAAAGACAAGCATACATGTTTATAACATTTGATTAAAAAAATAAAAACAGTTTAAAAGACCATGCTAGTACAAAACGGACGAATGGTTAATCCCCTAGCAGCTTTTTTTTTTTTTTTTTTTTTTACAGAACATTAAATTAACAAACAATGTAAAGTCTGGACCCTAAAAAATGATGTTGATTAAATCAGCTTTTAAAGTTTGACCAGACAGTTCACACTGCATGTCTATGGGGAATGGTCAAAGGTCAAAGTTTTAGATTTATTTTGAAACACACACAGGCAGCTCTATGCACACGTTCATGAATTCATGTAGTTTAGGCCCTGTGGAATATATATACTGTGTTCCCTCTCTATATCACGGTTCTCTTGCTCCCTCAGCACATCGCTGATGTTTTTTAAACATCGCGATATGTTACAGCAAACACAAATTTTTAAATTTCCAATACTGTGAAATATAATTTTATAGCATAAAAACGAAAAGACATTTTGCAACACATACACACACTCTGGATTATCAAAATGATTTCTATTTGCTAAATGCCAGAGTAACTAGAGAAGGAGGTTTTTTTTTTTTAGACCATTTTTTAATTACTTTTTTAAAATCAGAAGTTTACATACACTAGGGTTACTGTGCCTTTAAACAATGTTTAAAAGGAATGCCCAGATGATGATGTCATGTCTTTGGAAGCTTCTGATTTCTGGTTTATTGACAACATTTGAATCAATTGGAGACACACCTGTGTCACAGAACACAATGCTTCTTTGTTTAACAGCATGGGAAAAGTCTAAAGAAATCGGCCACGATCTCAGACGGAGAGTTGTGGACTTGCACAAGTCTGCTTCATCCTTGGGTGTGTTCAAGATGCCTGTGTTCAGTTCAAACAATTCTACGCAAGTATAAACAACATGTCCAGCCATCATACCACTCAGGAAGAAGATGGGTTCTGTGTTCCAGAGATGAACGGGATTAGGTCAGTACTGTGCGTATCAACCCAAGAGCAAAGACAAAAGACCTTGTGAAGAGGTGTGTCATTATCCACAGTGAAACGAACACTGTACTGACGTGGGCTGAAAGGCCATGCTCCCAGGAGGAAGCTATTACTCCAAATGAAACACAAAAAAGCCAGATTACACTCTGCAAATGCACACAGGGAAAAATACCTTAATTTTTGGAGACATGTCCTGTGGTCAGATGAAACTAAAATCAAACTGTTTGGCCATAATGACCATCGTTACGTTTGGAGGAAAAGGGGGGAAGCCTAACTGTGAAACATGGTGGTGGCAGCATCATGTTGGGGGGTTGTTTTGCTGCGTCGAGGAACTGGTGCACTTCACAAAATCGATGACATCATGAAGAAGGAACAGTATGTGGAGATATTGAACCAACGTCTGAAAATATCTGCCAGGAAGTTAAGGCTTGGCCGCAAATGGACAATGACCCAAAGCTGTTTAGAAAATGGCTTAAGGACAACAAAGTCAATGTTTTGGAGTGGCCATCACAAAGCCCGGATCTCAATCCTATTGACCATTTATGGGCAGGGCTGAAATGACCTGCATGCACGGCAGCCTACAAACATGGAACAGTTATACCAGTTCTGTCAGGAGGTATGGGCCAAACTTCCTGCCAAGTATTGTGAAAAGCTTGTATATCCAAAACGTTTGACCCAAGTCATCCAGTTTAAAGGCAATTCTACCAAATACTAATAAAATGTATTTAAACTTTGGACTTTTAAGACAATAATAAAAAACATTGTCTAAAATTCTCTCTCTCATTAATCTGGCATTTAGCAAAGAGAAATAATTTTGGTAAAATTAAGTTTAATCTGATTTAATGTCAGACAGTGAGGAAAAAAAAGGATTGTGTGTCCTTTTATACCGTGTATGTAAACTTTCATACTTTCAACTGTATATATGGTGAGCATTTAATTACCGTAGGGTAATGACCTAAGTTGGACACAGGAGGGCACTGTTGTTTTTGTTCGACTGTTGATGACAGTGTGGGGGAGGTTCGTAAAGGGTAACTATATACGTTAATATGTAATATAATATATAATAACTATCTCATCTCTACTTCGCGATTTTTCCCAATTTCGTTGGAACGCAACTACCGCGATAAGAGAGGGATCACTGTACACTCTTGGAATTACGCCGTCTTATCCCAAAATCCCAAATGACCCTGAAACGTTCGTGCGTATTTAGATGAAATGTCCGTTTATACAACACTTCCCCAGACATGCACACACGCGCACAGACAGGAGGGTGAAAAAGTACAGAAACAAGATGGAGACGAGGACGAATGCACGTGGAAAAATGTGCAAATGTGTTACTGCACACCAAACCTAAAGACGTGACATTGTTCTCGTGCTCCATTCCGCCATCTTGTGGCCATTTTCCAGTTAAACGTACGTTCAACTTCTCTCAGCATGTGGCCATTTTCCCTTTAAAACAGAAAACAGTCTGTAACCTTAAAAAAATTTTGTGTAAATGTTGGTTCCGCAAAAAGTTCCACCGAATGTCTTCACAGTGACTGAGTTTTGGTCAAAAAGTTTTTTGTTTTTTTTAAAGGATACTTGGGGCAGAACTCTTGTTTTGAAATGTTTTGAGCAATGATTCAGTCGCCTTTGTTAGACTGATGAATACATGACCGTGAATCACAGCGATGTCAGGTCCTGGACCTCCAGCAGCATGGCATCCTGTTCTATCCTCAACTGGTCTCGCACTTGGAGGCTACCCACCAGCTCGGAACTTAGGTCTGAGAGACAGAAAACAAAATATGTGTTTTTTTATATATGTGGGCTAGCTGAGGATTAATCACGATAAATCAAGATAATTTAAGATAAACCATATATATATATATATATATATATACATATATATATATATATACATATACATATATGTACATATATACATATATATATACAGTATATACACACACAAATATTTACACACAGGGGGTCCTCAACTTAGGTTCCTACAGCACAACATAACTTAATTTGTGCTGTAAGTCAGGACTCACATGGTCAATGACCACAGAGACACTCAATTTGTGTGGCAAGTCCTTTCTGCAAGTTTTCAACATTGGCATCCTGTTGTACTAAACAGGAGTGAAACTTGGGATTGATAAAGTGGTAGTAAATAATATGCAGGGAGTTCTCGAATTCTCGGAATTCCGTTCCAAAGGTGCAATGTAACTCAATTTTTGATGGTTTTGATTTTAGTATGTTAACGGTGGCAGTTGCACTATGCAAGACCTTTCTACAGCCCGAAGCAACATTGTTCACCTTGAGTCTAAACTTGCATACTGCATAAGTAGCCATGTCACTCACCTTCGCCAACACGGTGGTAACGTCATAATCCAGGACATACAACATCAGAAGTCTGACTTATGCTTGGCAGCCATAACATGAATGTGTGTGCGTACCTTGAATGATCTGATTGTGAGATGAACACAGATCAGTGAGTTCTTTGATACTGAAGCTCTGTAAATCTGTGCGCTCCAAGTGTCTCCTGTGGATTACAGCATTGCTGCGTACTGCGGCCTGAGGAGAATGTAATCAGGGCTGTGAGTTCCTCAGCATCTAGGCGATCTTACACCTTTGCCCTAGCGCTAACTAAATGTGCGCTAACAACGGCCTCACCAGTGTATTGTGGTCCGTTCTCAGTCGATCTCTCAGGCTCCTCAGAGCGTTCCTAAAGCCTCGTGATTTTGGCTTCTCCGGCTTTGACACAGTCACCGGATGCTTCTGGACTTGAACTGCCCCCGTCTTTAAAAAATAGGAGACAAAAAAAAAAAAGAATGTTAATTTTATGTTTGGGGATTGTTCTATGTATCAGAAATGGGTAAGCACCAACTTGCAGGCTCAGCATGACCATTCAAACATTGGTACATAACTAGAAATAAATAATTGTAACCACATTCACTTTGACCATAGGTGTAAATGTGAACGTTAATGTCTCTATATGTGGCCCCGCAATGGACTGGCGATCTGACCAGGGTGTACCCAGCCCTCACCTGATCACAGATTCGACAGTTTGCACCGTAATTTCCGGTCTATAAACAGTTACTTTTTTCCACAATCAATGACTTTTCTGGTAGGCTACTCTGTGTTATACTAGTATCATGTCTGTCTGTGAATGGCTGTGTGTCTGTATGTGTCTGGGGGAAAGAACAGTAGCAAAAGTTGAAAGCAGTTTGAGCCCTGTCATGTTGAAGAGTGAGTTGGTTATACAGGAGCTGTTAAAACACTGTTTATGTTTATGTTGTGCTCGGTGTGGCAGAAAGAAAACAAAGTAAAAGGAAAGCGAACTACTTGTCATTGTGACACAGCACACACAGCACAACCATTACACAGCTAATGTTAGTTTCGGCCCTGACGCAGATCACTGAGGCGCTGAAGCGGGAAAGAGCTAACGTGTAACCAGCCGTGTTAAAGGCACTGTCTGGAAAAAAACATTTTTTTAATTAAAAGTGGGGAAAAAAAACTTTATGTGTAAATATCCCATATTACAACATGGACACTTGCAGCTTATAGAGAAGTGCGGACAATATATGTACAATTACTTTTTTTTCTTTTTAAATTTAGTGGGTAGGGCTTATATTCAGATTTGCTCAATAGTCCAGAAATTATGGTATGTTATAAAAATGTAAAAAACAAAAAACAAAAAACCAAAACAAACCACAGATAAACACGTGCATTTACTTCAAACTGCATTTATTATGGTATGTTATAAAAATGTAAAAACCAAAAACCAAAACAAACCACAGATAAACGCGTGCATTTACTTCAAACTGCATTAAGTCATGTAGTTTCAATACACTCTTTGTTATTACAGGTTAACATTTGAACGTGTCTTCATACATTGATTTGTATCTTAATATTTACCCGTGAGTTTGAGCTTTCCTTCTTGCCAAGGTCTTCCTTCTCTTTCTCCTCTTCCTCCTCACTTTCACTGTTGTTGATGAAGCAGAGTTGCAGATTCATCTGTGTCTGCAGGCTACAGAAAGAAATGGGATAGAAGATAAAGGACAAAAGCAAAAAAAACCAAAAAACCCCAAAGAACAAAACATAACAAAACAACAAAAAACTTTTATTATATAAACCATGTCATTCTAATCTTTAGAGTGATATGTTAAAAAGATTGACTTTATTTGGGTACTGACTTTGTTTTTTCACCGCAACACATTTCTGCACACACGCGCATGGAAAGTCAAGTTTTGTCCATACACAGTCCAAGCTCAAGTTTCTTTTTTTGTTTTTTTTTGTCACAACATGGTGCTCTGTGATATACTGGCAAATTTTTGCACTGTTTTGGAGCTGGGAGATAATACCAAGTTTTTATGACATGTTTGGTATAGAATGAGACTATAGTGTGTACATTGATAAATGCACTCTTGCCTTAAAACAGTGGTTATAAATTATTTTCTGTCATTCCCCCCTTGGGGACAGAAATATTTTCACGTCCTTGCTGGCACCGCACCGCGCCCCGCTCCACTATTTGAGAAGTACTGCCCTAAAATAATATACAGTTTCATTTATAAGCCGGCTCATTATGCCAGTTTTTGTCTGTTTCTCTTATTTCCGTCTTCTATCTTGACTCTCTCTCTCCCTCTCTGTAATCACACACCTCAAACTGAGCGACAACACAAGGACCACAATGAGCGAGATGCTGGTAAATCATCTCATAAACAACTTGAAGCTTTATTAAACAAGGATTCTTTTCCAATGGTTTCAGCAGCAAACAAATCCTCTCTGTCAAGAATGCTGGAAACCAGTTCACACTAAAAGTTCAAACCACAAAAAAAAAAAAAAAATCTTTCCTGTCACTTGTTAGTTCTTTAGCGTGATTGCTGTTAAGAGCTTTTTCCTGTAATAGTTGTTAAACCGCTTTAGGTGCACTCTTGACTTTGGTGGCATTACAAAATAAATTACGAAGTCATAGGGTTTGTTAACTGTAACACTTGCTTACTTTTTTATTTCCAAAGTTATAGATGCTTTTATGAGGGGGACCACATGGTTTAAACTAAATTATGTGGAATATGTGCCACTGATATCTTTTGCTATTTGCAGTGGGTGGTGGTTGGACTAGCCCAGCCCTAAGGATGGTTTACCTTTTTTCTGCCCTCTTGGGGTCCCCTTAAATGTCTAGTAAAAATATACTTATACAAATTATAATTAATAAAAAATACAAATTATTCTTTTTAACATTATGATAAAAAAACACAAACACAATAGCATCCTTATTCGTTCAAGTTCAAAAAGGCATAAAATGCAGCATATAAAAATATCTGAGCTGGGGCATGTTGATTGATGGCTGCGATCAAGTGACTGCAAAAGTGACAGCTAATTGAGTTCCTGTGCTACTCTGTAGTTGCAACACAGTATCTTCTTCTTCTTCTTTTTCTTTCGACAACCAAAAAAATGAAACTAAGGGGAAAAAAGTCCATAGGGTTGTCAGAAATTTGTGATGTCGAAATGGTGTCAAAATCCAAAAAAACGTTTTGGAATCTCTGATCTAAACAATGCTAGTGTAAATGGAAACAGATGGTCACTTTCTGCAAATAACCATACGGATTCAAATGCTGTTACAATTGTATTGTCCCCCCCCCCCCCCAATTTTACTCAAAAAAAAATGTAGCTGTGACGTTAACCTGGGAATGATGACGTTGGTTCGATTGAGGAAAGGTAAGGCACACATACCGGGAGGTGAGCGCCAGCACATGGCTGTTACAGGCATCATCTCCATCCTCCCAGCTCTCTGATCGTCTGCCTCTCTCTTCTGCTCGGCTCACTGGAGCCCGGCCTCGCTCCAGGGAGAGTCCACTCTGTAAGACAACTCAGGACTCAATTATCTCTGCTGCTGTTACTTTAACTAGTAATTAATAGGCATTGTTAGCACCAAAACAAATTGACAAAAAAAAAAAAAAAAAAATACACATTTCGATTCATCATTGGGTCGTTGAAAATTATTCACAACAAAGGGATGTCCAATAATAGACGCCCAATATTATCATAGTTATGTTCTCCAATATAATCACAGCTTCTCCAAAAACATTTTGCTCCTCTCACTCTCTCTTTTCCCCATACACTCCTCATTCCCACCTCTTCATAACACATGAAAAGAACATTGTGAACGATAAACAAGCCTAGTCACTAGATGGCACCACTGCAGCTCATTTTATTAATCTTATTTGGGATCAAGGGATTCTATGCAGAATGCTGGTGCCAGCAACTTATACAGTTGTTGGTACAGAGAAATTAATAAATATTACCAGGCGATCAATAGTATTTCACCCAGGGGCGACACTTCCGTAACTGCCAGGCCAACACTGGCTCACTTTATTAGTATCGGTTGATATCGGAATGGGAAATTAAATCTTTGGACAATATCAGCATACAGTGGTCCCTCTCCTATCATGGTAGTTGCATTCCAAGACCCACTGCGAAAAGGTAAAATCTGCAAAGTAGAGGCGAGATAGTTTTTATATTATTTATGTACTGTATATATTTACCCTTTATTTACCCTCCCCCAACACTTTTATCAACCCTCTCTAGACTGTATTACCCTTTCCCACACAATTATATGCACCGTAGAGTTGTAAAATGGAAATATAAGACGTACATATTATGTAAATAAATTAAATACATGACGTGGCAGAGGTTAGCACTTAGCTGCAGCAAGGAGAGCCACGGGAGTGGTGACGTAGGTGGCGCCCCGGACGCAGGTAAGTGCAATTGGAGTTATCAATCCTCTCCGTATATTAGTAGGAGCCGTGACCAAGGAGAGTGAACAGAGGAGTGGATAAAGACGGACCGTATATGAAAGCCGGGCACAGCGCAGGAGAGCGCACATTATTGTTAAGAAAAATAAAGGCTGTTAACTGTCATCTGTGTCAGCGTCTTCGTTTGGGCTTAGTAACAGAAGACTGAGAAGCGACTTTCACCAAACACAAGAGCACAAACTTTACAGCAACGTTCTGTAGTGGTGGACAGACAAGGGGAGATGCTGAGAGATGCTATGATGGATGAGTTCAATCACCAAGTAAACAAAGCTATTTTTAAAGTTAGTTTTTAACTGTTTAATTTTTTTTACGTTATGTTTTTTTAATCACGAAAATAATGAAAACATTGGAAATTATCACTATATATATATATTTACTGTAAAATACTGTGATACAGCAAAACTCTTGGGAGATTGGAATAAAAAAATATTTGTGATGTACTGAGGGAGCGAAAGGAGAAGTGCGACACAGAAAGGGAACATTGTATCTGCAAAAAGTTAATATCAGACATTCTTATCCATGACTGATTGAGATAACATTAGTCTTCTTTCTTCTTTTCCCTTCGGCTTTGTCCCTTTTTTCAGGGGTTGTCACAGCGAATCATTGTTTTCCATCTCTCCCTGTTCTCTGCATTTTCTACTTTGACTCCAACTATCTGCATAGTCCTCCCTCACTGCATCCATATATCTCCTCTTTGTCTCCTACCCGGTAGCTCCATCTCTAACATTCTTCTACCAATGTATCCACTGTCCCTCCTCTGCACATGTCCAAACCATCTCAATCTGGCTTCTCTAGCTTTTT